ACCCCACCCCACCCCACCCCAACATTAAAAATAAAAAAATGACATACACTTCTATACAATAACAGGAATTGTTTCTCACACAAAGTACAAAAAAAAGAAATTCTCTATATTTTTCATAAAAGGTTTCTCGACCCATACATTTGTACATGTACAGATGATAATCCACTCATCTGCAAATGTTATGTTAATTCATATATTCTAAATATAAATTAATGCATTTCTCAAGAATTCTTAAAGACTATCATTATACAAGATACTAATCTACTCTTGACCTTTGACCCCTAGTTTTTTTCTTGCTTCACCAGCTCAGGCCATAATACAGATTCATTTTCTCAGCTGGGCTGACCATTCCTGGGAATTGGAGAAAACAAATATTAGGAAGAAATTGTCATAGCAACATATCAACTGTTAGATGGGTTTCAACAATTGGAAAATCGAACACCGGTTTGCAAAACCTTCGGTAGGTTTCACCAATACATAATAGATCTTAAAACCAAACTTTCGTTTTTGCTGTTCCAAAAATTCCTGAACAATTTGGGTTTGAGTCGTACCAGTCTTCCTGTGAACAATATGTCCAACTTTTATTATGGACACTGATTTAAGCAGTTTCACTGATGCCTCCATAATGAACACCAAAGTCAACTTTTTAAAATTTTTCACAAAATAAAACTTGCGTAATTTTTTTATTTATTTGTCATCTGGCCCTAAATTAATGGAAAAATTATAGAAAAATACATAAAAACGTAATTGCATCAAATTTTGTTGGGAAAAATTATGGCATTCAATATTATTAGTTAAAATCTAATCAAAAATTATTTCAGGAATCAAAGCAAAAACATTTGTCGAACAGTAGGAATAAGTAAAAAAAAGGAATCAATCAAGAATCAAGACAATATTTGTTTCAAGTCAGAATGTGCAAAAAGCATCAGTCATGACTCCACAACAAAATGTATTTTTTTAGCATAATATTACTCACCAAACATTGGCCTAATTCGCCTTGAATCCAATCGTTTCAGCGAAAATCATTTCCTTAAGTTTTTCTTTTGGCAGATCATCCAACTCGCATTCAAAACTAAAAGGTTCTTCAGCAACAGGCTAGAGAAAGTGAAACCAATGAGAACAGGATGAGGACTCTCCCAGACTACTTGGTGGAAATAAATCAGTATCTATAACAAATTGTTTAACCTTTTCATCACCAGACCTCCTCGCCTAAATTTGTCTGCAGTATATTTTTTATATTCTTTAATATTTCTGGAAATAAATCCTAATTTTGGACCCAACAGAAACAATTTCAGTAAATTTTCAGCTTTTACTCAAGATTTGGCTATTTTTGTCCCAATCTTCAGAAGGAAATTGCAGACTATAAACAAGACTATTTTGTTAATTTTTGAAGAAAAGAGGGAGCTGGTGGT